CCTTGTATCAAATCACTACTTGTGTGCAACACAAAGGTGGTGCAGAATATGCATGAGACTCCTTTGGGAGATGGTAATGGTTCCTGGGTTGCCTCTTCCTGCTGCGCAGCTGGTAGGGCCCAGCAAAACCCAGCACCCTGCCTGGATTCACACCCTGGTAATTACATGGTTTGGAGGGAGTTTATGTTCTGAGGAAATAATTGTCATGTTGCTTTTTATTAGCAAAAACTTTGTTATGGTTCCTCTTCTAATAGCATGTAGCTGTCATGCTTTCTGGGGCGCTAATGTATTTTTCTCTGGCACGATGAAGTACTGACAATTGCATGGGTGCAACCACATATTTATATATATCTATATACACACACGCACCTATATGCAGTGGCACATGGTGGCAGCTTCTCCCAAGTGCTGTCGCATCTCTGGTGCTACCAGTTTGCAGCTGATGGTGGAGCCATGCAGACCTGTTCTGCCAAGATGCGGCTGCCCAAGGACACTCAGCAAGTGGGCAGCCCGACATCTCTCTTGGGAATAACTTGAGCCCGTCCCCAGGCACTGTTTGTCCTTGCAGGTCCAGCAAGTGAGCCTGATGCCAACGAGTTTCCTCGGCAGCGCCCTCCGGGGCACCTTCTTCGTCATTTTTGGTCTCTGGTGGTCTGTGCGATACCCCCTGAAGTATCTCCGGCGGAAAGCCAATGCCGAGAGCCAGCCAAGCTATGGGGTCCAGCGCGTGGAAGTCTTCGAAGGGGCAGTCAAAGCTTTCTTTGCTCTAGCAGGTAAGAGATGATGATGATGAGTCTCTGCCCCAGTATCTACTGGCACTGCAGCCACTCTCTCCCACGGAACCAGGGCTGTTTGTAGAGGGAAACGGGTGTGGGTGGTGTGGGAGGGCTTGGGGACATGCTTGTGGCACACTCTATGATAGGACCTTACTACCATTCCTCTGGGCAAATACACACAGAATCACAAGGGTTGGCAGGGCCCTCGGGAGCTCACCCAGTGCCACCCCCCTGCTCAAGCAGGCTCACCCAGAGCAGGGGGCACAGGACAGCATCCAGGCGGGGGTTGAAGATCTCCAGAGAAGGAGACTCCACAGCCCCCCTGGGCAGCCTGGGCCAGGGCTCGGGCACCCTCCAAGTCAACAAGTTCTTCCTCCCGTTCAACTGGAACCTCTTCTGCTTCAGGTTGTGCCCATGGCCCCTTGTCCTGG